GGAAGGAAGGAAGGAAGGAAGGAAGGAAGGAAGGAAGGAAGGAAGGAAGGAAGGCAGGCTGGAAGTTTTTAAAGTGTAACAATAAAGTTTGAAAAAGCTTACAGAAATAACATGTAGAATGTTACAAAGATGGATTTTGGTAAGTTCAGGAGACTTGCTGAGGCAAGAAACTCACACAAACGTGTGTTTCCTAATATTTTTCAGGTTTTAGGATAGGTCTATTTGGCAGCCACTCTGTGGCTTTAGACGTATATTCTCCCTTCAAAACTGCCAGGAAACTCCAGCTGGAGCTTCACTCATGCTGTTCCAAGGTACACTGGCAATACTCATCACCCACAGGTACCAGCAGAAATGGTTCTAAGCTATTAATGACTATAAGAAATCAGAAAAAAACAAAAAAAAAAACCAAAAACCCACCAAAACAACAACAACGGAACAGAATGGATAAACTGAAAGAGATGTTTCTGAAAATCCTAGGATAGCAGGGAAGACAGTATCATGAAGGCTGTAAAATAACTGCAAGGACCCTGCAACAAGGACTTCCCATGTGTGCATCTCAGAGTCACACTCTGCAGGAGGAGAGGCACTAGCAACACACCACTGGAAGCTCAGGGTGCCATACCATGGTGGGACTTTCTGTGGCTACCTTTAAGACAGTGACTAGGTAGCTCCTCCAACAGCTGAGTTACTAGATATGAAACTGTTTTGATAACTACTTATTCTTTTATACCCATAAACCTTTTGGGAAATTGTATAGACAAATCAGATTTTGACAGCTGTCCTTTTTCTACTGTGTCTGGTTCCTTCACTGGATGAATCCTACAGTCTTGTAGTGTCTGCTATGAGGCCACCGGACTCCTGAAGCCAAAGAATTCTTTTCTGAAGTATTTCTCTTTGGATTTTTCCCTCCTGCTAGCAAGCTTTCCCTTTGGGCATAACCTTTCAGCCAAGTGTTGCAGAGTAGGGTCAACAAGAGCTTCTGTCTGAAGGTCAGGCTGTTAACCCTTTCCTACAACAGCTAATGGATGGTTTGTATAACCTGCACACAAGAAAGTGTGGGCTGATGAAGGCAGATTTCTGGGGTTTTTTTCCCTATTCCTAGGGCTAGTCCCAGTGATTTTATCACAAGTTTTGCGGTCTTATATATCTTCGTAAAACCTCAGCTCCTGCAGTCCTGTCATTACTTAAGAATTTCTACTTTTATGTGTTTTAACAAACTGTATTTCTAGCTGTTACAATGGCAAAGAAGGGTTTACAAACAGAACTCAGTATAATGCACTTACCTGGAAAAAAATTCTAACAGTGAACTCCAGATCTATTTTTAAAAGAACTCAGAATATGAAGGGCAGTTACACTGTTTTTGAGGCCTACCCTCTGATTTTTAAAGTTTGATGTGAAAAAAAAGGATGTAAACTTATAGACCAACCTTTTATTCATTCAGGTAATGAGACTGACTTCTTAAAATTGTTAAGGCAGCTTGTGGCTCAGATCTTCGGTACTTTTTAATTTTTTTCTTCACTGACCTCCACTGAGCTTTCAACTGTTACATCACCAGTCTACATGAGCTTACACAGTGATCCCAACCACTTCATAACTCTCCTCTTCTGACTACCACATTATCTTGGGGATCCAAAAGCATATTTTAGATTGGGAAGCTCTGTGTGGAAGAGCTTGACTCACCGAATTCTCATTCTGGTATCACTCTTTCAGAAAATTTAGGAATGAAGAGTCTGGTAATAGCTTCTGACTAAAGGTTTGTATTAATGAGGATGTAATAAATGATATCATGATGTGAAAAAAAAATATCTATGAGCTAGAATGACAGCTGCTGATCTTAAAACCTGATTTCTTGGTTCTTTTAGGAAACAATGTTTAATACAATGTTAAATACAGTGTGAATGGTTTGTGCAGAAGACAACATGGAAAGAAAAAAGAAAGTGTCTGTGAATGAACACATGTGCTCATCCATGGAAATATGGGTTACAGCCATGCGACTGCATGCAAGGCAGCTTTGGTGCCGAACTGTAATAGTCCATGTGGCTTCTGATACCAGCGCTAACACAAAATTATTTCTTGGGTGCACCCAATAACACAGCACAGTGTTAGTCTTGGAAAACCCTAAATCCAAGACACTTATCATTCCGCTGTGAATTGCCTGAAAGGAGTAATCTACAGCATGTGTCTTTTTGGAATGCGTCTGAAGAAAAAAATTTGGGAGTCCTGTGAGAGCCAGAAACTAATCAGTTATAGCCCTATCTAAGTCACAACTGTTATTAAAGTAAACAGTTGTAGTAATGTCCATCCTCAGTGCACACCCCATCTGCTCTGGGAGGCAGCTGTGAATGAGGATGGAGGATGTCCAGCTGCGGAAAGCCAAGTTTCCAAGGCTCTGAGTACGCTACTGCATTCTGTACCGAGAAAACAGGCTCATTATAACAACGGGGATCCAGACTGTGCGGACATTATACCCCGAGAAAACATCATCCCCAATCAATGAGAGGTTTTCCTGAGTAAGGGTTTTCCGGGCTGGCTCCACGAAAAAAGAAAAATGGGTAAAATAAACAGGCTATGATAATAATGATGAGGTGGTGGAAGAGGCACGGGACAGGGACTAGCCCCTCTCCTTTGGCACCATCGGAAAACGACAGCGTGAAAGTGTCGGGGGTAACCGTCTGGCTTTTCGAGTGCCCGCTGCACGGTGCCAGCCCCCGGGACACGAGCGACCAAAGTTTCCCTGCTCTTCAAAATTCTGCCGAACTCCGTGGAAAACCCAATGAACACGCGGGGGGGTTGGAGCAGGGGAGCGTCGCTCGGCGCTTCTCCGCGGCCAGCGAGCGGCCGGGGCCGGCCCGGGCCGGGCCGGGTGAACTGCCA